TTTCAGGTTTAGGATGTGGAGTCACGGCGCCATGAAAATTAATGAAGCTAAGGTATCCGAAGTAAGGAAAGATTGTCCCAATTCAGTATTTTATTAAAAAATGTTACAAAGATCATGAGTTTGAGGAAGTCGTTATCATCAAACGGAAGAATGCTACCATAGATCCACAATTAATATCTGCTTTTAAGAAAAAACCGGGCATATCAGAAAAAAAATTACTGACCTAATGAAGTTAGTTAATAAAAAACACATTCCATCATTTTCTAAACTATTAGTTTAATTATCTGTGTAAGACTGTATTTTATGAAACAAAGAGGTCTAATTATTTAACAACTTATCTGATTAAAAGACTGAATCAAAAAGACTGGCAATTACTAAATAGGATCTAATAATAATAATAATAATTTGAATAACGATTACCGACTTGAATAGGCTGTGGTACCAAAGGCCATATTTAGGGATAAATTTGAAGTTCCCACCTATGTTATTAAAATATTATCTTAATAAATACTAATAACTCAAAGAAAGAATGCAAAGTAATATCTTATATGTTCAAAACACGCTTGTGAAACTTGATTTGCCGTTAATTACAAAGTAAAATAAATACGAGATTTATGAAATGGAAGAGAAAGAAACCAAAGGAGCTAACATGGCTAAAATGCTATACATAGATTTAAAAAAAAACTTTTATAAAATAAGTACGCCAGTGTAATATTATTTTGCACACAAAAGTGGCAACATCTACTTACAATAATAATTTAATATATATAAAGATAATATACATACATTCTCTCCCTTTCTGTTTGATTTTGCTTCTCTAAACTTTCTCTAAACTATACGGGATTAACAGCGTTAACAGGCAGAACGCTATAAGGCATTAAGTCAGCCCGTTGTAACCCTTTGTTTGACGTGTCTTACAATAAAGATGAAATTATTAAATAAATTATACGTGAATTATAAAATGTGCCAAGTAAGTTTCAGCTTTTGTAATATAACATTTTAATATATAATATCACTCGAACAATCAATTTAAAAATGCTAAATGCTACTGATATTGTTGCGCGCCACTATTAATGTCTTGTACATGGCAACACTAGTTACCACTAGCGCCGTCGAGTAGCAGAACTAGGAGGATCAAGATCCTTCTAGAAATTTCGGGACCGATATGTACTCGAACATTCTAGATGTTTCTACAATAGAAGGTTCTGAAAACTATCTGAGGCCCTATATAAGGCCGGTATATACCACGACAGTACCACGAGAGTCAGTATTGAATCGGCGATATAAGCGAATACTTCGAAGCTATACAACTGCGAACTAAAGTGATCAGTAGTACAATTGTGTTTTATGATAAGTGCGGTTTTAAGTTGTAATTAGTGTTCTATAATTAAAGTGTCAATTTTTGGTAATTCAATCGGCAGTTTTTAACGGTCTCGAACTTAAAGCTCGTAACAATATTATATAACGGATGCTAAGAATATTATTAGACGATGATAATACATAAAAAAGCATTTCCTAGTAATAATCTTTCAGAAGTATTATAGTGTGATATATTTATAATGTAATAAGAAATAAATTTAATTCAACTTATTATTGTCATGGAATCAGAATAATATTATCAAACATTAAATATTAAATTTATAGCGTAGCAATAATATTACTAAATATGTGTACAATATTAACATATTATTAGTAATTAAATGAACAGTTACTTCATTCTAATTCATTTCAAGTTTGTTAAGCTTCATTGATCGTTCTAGTGTTTTACAAGAAATACATAATATTCAAATTTAAACATATCTAAAATGTGATTATAAAATTGTAATAAAGAAAAACAGAAACGCCATACACACTAGCGGCTGACTGAAAGCGCGGTAGACTTGGGTAATACCCGTCCGAATTAACTAGGCACCTGCTTCGCTCTCCCGCTTCGCAGAACTGTACGAGTGATGTCGCAGCGACGGATTACCTAGTTATCTCACACGGATTGTAGTTCGCGAACGAGCGAAAGAAATAGATCACTTCATTACATAAAATACTTAGTAAGTCGCAACTCATTCAAATATGTCTCTACTTCATTTACTTCAGTCTAACTATATCAAAAGTAAAAGGTCGTAACATCATATGCGTAAGCGGTTATACGTAGTATCGTGGTTACAAATAACTAGCTAAAGTACTAACTACTAGATTAAATAACTAGTCAATTCTGTATAAAGTGAACTATAAGTTCGTTTAAAACTTCAATTTAAAAAAAAACATGTGGGCAGTTCACACGCGGTAGAAGTAAAACGATCCCAAAAACACAGTCTACAATATTCTATCTCTTTCCCCCGCAGGGGGAATCCTATAGATGTATATGTTTGTCTCTTTTCAGTGTCGCTTTTTCGTTTCAACGAGTTTGTAATCAAAATTCTAAAGAAATTTTCATTTACCAAAAACATTCGGGTCCACGATACTACGTATACGATAAACAGCCTAGTGAGTTATTGAAATCGATTATGTTACATAACGCACCACTCTAACGAGAAGTACAAACGGGATGTATAAGAGGGCTGTTGCTGTCTACTCCGATGGTCTAAAACTCTTTGTAATTAGCTGTGACAAACGCAAAATACAACTTGTACAGTGATAAAGTACACAGTAAAACTGGCAATAACAATAGTCGTGTCATTTATCACAGGCATCATTAATATAAATATACTAGTGATCTGGATATCGACAACAACATTACCGGGTCCAATTGTGAATGCAAACCATCCATCTCAACAACCCACACTCAAACACACACACACACAAAATTTAGTTTAGGGGGGGGGGGGGGGGGGGGTTAGTAGCCGTGGCTTGGTAACCCGTGGTAAACGTAGGGCAACTCACATGGCTGGCCCGAAGTGAAGGGCTGGCCCCAGGTGGCTACTCTGAGTGGGCTCGTGGTGTTGTTTATCGCTGCAGCCGAGGTGGTGTCGCAAGGGAACAGGATTACAAACAATTCTCTTCCCTTGCGACACCGCCTCGGACCACCAGGATAGTCGAGTGGTGTGTTACCATACCAAATGGTACCACTCGACTATCCTCCGCGACTTTGGCGGGACTGTACCACTTGGGGCTTCCGAGTGCTCGTCTTTTTTTGGCTCCATGGCCTCCACATATCGGGCTCGGGAAGTCGGGGAGGCAAGTCCTCAACTAAGGAGGGGTCCTCGTTGGTGGGGCCGCGGATATGCTTGAAAGCTTTTCCGCGGCCTTGTCAATGTGTGGTGAAGGTGGAACATTATGGGGTTTTAGTAGGTGCAAGCCCGACATAATCCGTTCTTGCCCCGCAATGCAATCTTATCGATATATTTTTTCACACTGTCTTATCTCTATTATTAGTTCCATGGGCGTTCACTTCTGCTTTCAGCGCCAAAATGGCCAGTCAATATAGAGGTCAGTGTTACACTGATATAGAAGTTTTGAATTATGAAACCATTATTATGTAAAGTAAATAGAACTTCAAAAATTATTGCTAAATGTAATGAGGTTCAGTTTTGTGCGTCTGTGTATCAAATTTATATAAGCAAGTGTTTATCAAATTTATATACTCGTATTATATATCATGGCAGACTTTAAATTAAGTCAAGGATTTAATATTAGAGATTCTTAAAAATCGGCCTAATAATAAAAAAGTTAATTAAATAATATGTTTTTAAGGAATTTTGTATATGTACATATAACATTTCCTTTCAGAATATCTTTAAAATAAACTACCGACTCAATAAAAAGCAAACTAATACGAAAAATAAAATAAAACCTGTAATAAATTAAATTAAAGGAAAAATTAAAATAGTTACATCCTAAGTTCAATTTAGAATTTTTAAGTTTTAAATCTATATTTCCTAATAAAATCTCAAAGCTAGACATTGGCAAAAGAAGCTTTGGCCATCCAAAAAGTATTTAAGTAGACAATAATTGTATAAGTTATTGATATAAAATGTCTATAGATACACTCCGAGATCAACTCAGTCTTTATTTCATATTATAATTCAAAAGAAAATTAAAGTTAAGTCTAGAAATTAATTCTAAAAAAAAAATGTTTATGACTCAAATTTATAATAACTATTTGTTTTATTATAACTTTAAAATAATGTTTATTAGAGTGGATACGTTAATAAGGCATATAGTTATAATCCTACTGCACCATTTGTTACAGACTGTTAATGTAGTTTGACTTAAAAAAGGAGGCTATTATTACACAATATTTTCTTCAATTTCAGACACCAATTAAAAATGGCAGTCTAAATATTAGATTGTATTACAAAAAGGCTTATCTCTTTGTAGTTTTGTTACGTCCCTCCAGTGAAAGTTTATTTTAGGTTGTATATAAATTAAAAATTTCGATTGATATTGCTTGATTAGTGAGAACAAATATCACGATTGTTATAAACTTGTCACAACAGAGCACAAAAATTGGTTAAAATACTTTAATGTGCTATCAAAGCGAAACTTGTATTATATAAGCAATAAATATCATCATAGTTTGTCAAAGTAAAAAAAAGCATCTTGTTGGTATATTTTTATGTATTGGATAAAACTAATTTTATTGATTTTATAGCATTTAATTTTACTTATAGTTAAAATATTCATTTCCGAAATTTTGGGTGCTTTAAAAAGTCAAATCAAATGTGATAAAACTCATAAAATTAGTTTTATCACATTTGATGTGTAGTTTTCATGCACATGTAAGAAATCGTTTTAAGTACCTAGTTTAAATGTAATGTAATAAGTTTTTTGACACTAAGAAAATAAGCACATTGAAATGATATATTCAACAAACTCTAAAATTGTGATGATTCCATTAATGAAAAGTGTCTAATACCCAGTTCTTAAGAATTCTAATAAAAAAATCAAGCATATTGTGACAAACGTAATCTGTGTCTAAAGTTATCATTAATTGGATGGTATTGCTGATAGTAAATAGAAGAAATTTGAAAGAATAAATACTATCTAATTAATAATTATCAACTAAATTACCCATACAGCTTCACCTCAGTCTCGACACATTTCTTCATCAAGCCGTCCAATTCGTTGATAGAAGCCAGCTTCGCAGTGTAACGCTTTGTGAAATCAGCTATCTCTGCGAGACAACCTTCCTCCATTTCGCGGAGCACCTTGCTTATGTTTTCGCTATTTGATGTCAACACGTGCTTTGCGTGTAGTTTGTACAATAAGTGCTCCCTTTTTGGCTGGAAATATCATTATTTTTTTTTATTTTTAACCAGAATTAACCTCCCTTAAAATCTAAAATTCTTACCAACGATATAACTTTCTATTTCACAACTTTTTAACCATCTCTCTTTAAGCAATTTTATCAGAATCAATTATTTCATGGACCTGGTATTACACAGATGTCGAGTAGGTATTACATAGGTTAGGACATAATAGATAGAGATTGTGAGACTATAGAGTAGCTTACAAACTCACTTGTGCACTGTAAGGCTAAGCGTCCACTAGGCTCGCCGAGCCGAGTCGAATCGAATCGCAGAAAGTCACCTCCTATATATTTACTATGAAACTGCGTCCATTAGCGACGAGCCGCTGCGCGCCGAATTGAATCGACCGCGCGAATCGCTTGATAGACGGATTTCTTCGCCGATGCGATTCGATTCAACTCGGCGCGCCAGCGTATTTTAATTAATTTCTATTTCGTTTTCGTAAAAATATTTTTGTTTAAATAAAAATGAATAAAGAACTATTGATATCACTGGTCCAACAATATCCAGAATTGTTTAATCATGAAGATCCACATTATCACAATGAAATAAAAACATCTCTTTACACGAGCTGTCCATGACGCAAAAACGACCCAGTTTAATGAAGAATTTGCGATGAATGAACAATTCGATTCGATTCTTCAGAGATGGACGCACTAGGAATAAATGCGACTCGCTTCGATTCGACGGATTTCTGCTGTAGTCGACGCCAGGCTTAATGCTGTCCTGCGCAGATGGCTGCCTTCATTGAGACTAACACTGAGATACATATAGGACTTTGCGTTCGTTTTTTCTTTTATAAAGAATAAGAGTGACATAATGGCACAAAGTCCATCTAATGGGTATGTGGATGTTGTGTAACATAGAGATCTTCATCGATCTTCAATTATGAATCCAAATACAGATGCGTTGCACGCCTGAGGACTAAGATGTAATGCCTTTTTTTTTCAGTAAAAAAGATCTCAGTTTCTCTATATTCATAATACGAAAAACTGCAACATTAAGCTGCTATTTACGCCAGTATTCTGTAAGAGCGTGGTATTTCCCCAGTTGAGTCGACACATTCGTGGCTCTACCACGTATACTGCCACTGCTAAAGTCACTTTCGTCACCTTTCCATCAAAAATAATACTAATGATAATACCTCGTTCGGACTTTCCGTGAACGGTGACACTTGAACATTGGGAGTGAAGACGAATGGTTTGAAGTAGGAGACGCTTGGGTCCGGAGTGGCAGTGAACCAGTGCACGCTTAAACCACTGCCGGATAGAGAAGAAACCTGTAAATAAAGATTATTTATTACATAAAGAATAAGGAGACACAACATTTTTTAACCGGAATTAAGAAGGCAATGCTTCGGTGGTTTTGACTTGTGGAAAAAATAAATGATGATAAAGTGACAAAGCAAAGGAGACAATCGTTTTCGGGCCCAATAGAAATTTTAACGTAACTTAATTTTATTACACATAGAAATATACCAATTTATTATAGTAAACAGCCTAATGATTTTATGAAAATTAAACCGGAGTTATGAAATCTGAAAAAAAGAGTTGTTTTGATATTCGTGTTCTCTAACGTAATATAAAAAAAATGCGTGTAACGAGGAACGAATTACTATTTTTTTTTTATAGAATAAAGATGACATACGAGTACACAGTCCACCTGATGGTAAGTGGTTGCTGCGGCCCATAGACATCTACATCTATTCTCGTTTGCGAAATAAAATGCAGATGCGTTGTCAGCCGTGAGAACTCAGATCGAATGCCTCTTTTCTAATAAAAAGGGTCTCCGGTTCTCTACACTCACCATACGAAACACAGCAGCGTTAAGCTGCTATTTTACGCTGGTATTCTGTAAGAGCGTGGTCCTTCCCCGGTCGAGCCGACCCATTCGTGCTACAACTATACTATTAATATAGCTGCAGCATGGCTCTACCACGTATAAGATTACCACTAAAATGATTTTCCATCAATCTTAAAGTACCTATAAACGCTGAATGCACCTACAAGTTTGTTTTATGCTATTAATTATTGATTAGTGCACTATTTTAACTTATAATACCGGTTATAAATACTAGACAATCGCTTTTAGTTTGTTTTTAGGTTATTGTGATATTCATATTTTAATTGTTAATTTCTCAGTATTCCCGTTAGATACGGTAAAACTAGTATTACTATTGTAATCTATAGATTATAAGAAATAAATCGACATATATTTCATTAAGTTACGAAATAATTTGTGGTTGGCCCATTCTCCATACAAAAAGAAATTGTCTCTTTAAGTTGCAAAAGTGAGTGGCAGAGTCGGTGAGTTACACCCCAGGCCTAGACACAAGTTTACTAACCAATTTGGCTATATATTGAAGATGGACAAAATTAAGAATACTCTTCATCGACGAGCTGTGGATATACACGTATATGGATATGAAAGGAGAGAGAGAGAGAGATAGAGAGAGCGAGAGAGAGAGAGAGAGAGGTGTCAGGATTGTGCTAAATCTAAGTCTGTAGTCTCTGCCCACCCCTGTAAGTGACAGGCGAGAGAATTTTATATAGGTATGTAGAACCAACATTTTCCTATGTATACCTATGGTCTTACTGCAAAATCACTTGACTACCAAGTTGATCTAGTGTTCGTAAACACAACTGCTGATTATGTGCAGGTTCAAATCGACGTTTCCCAACCCCAGGTTCGAGACAAAATCAGGAGTCATTTTTTACATGGTAGAGCCATGCTGTAGCTATGTCAGTAGTATAGTTGTAGCACGAATGGGTCGGCTCGACCGGGGAAGGACAACGCTCTCACAGAATACCAGCGTCAAATAGCAGCTTAACACTGCTGTGTTTCATATGGTGAGTGTAGAGAACCGGAGACCCTTTTTACTGGAAACGAGGCATTTCATCTTAGTCCTCACGGGTGGCAACGCATCTGCATTTTGATTCGCAAACGAGGATAAATGTAGATGTCTATGGGCCACAGCAACCACTTACCATCGGGTGGACTGTGTGCTCGTTTGTCACCCTATTCTATAAAAAAGAAAGTCATGAAATTGATGTTTCACACCCGTGCCTCAAAAAGCATGTAACGGCGTTGGTCCAGCGTCTGATCGTATATACAGAAACAAAAACAGTAGAGAAACCTCGGGTAGTGTCCCATAAGACTCAATACTAATACCGTAGCACCATGAGAAAATTAAGTACATTCGCATCCACTCGTGCACTACAACAAGTCACTGCTGAGCAGGTTGAGTAATAAATTACCCGCTTATTATCCATCATATAATTTGTAAAAATAGTATTTTAATAGTTATTAATTATGTTATTTCAAAACAAAATATGTTTGATACAATGAACAATTGCCATATTACCTCTTTTCATTTGCCATTTGTACATATTACACATATTCTTACAATTCTTGCATCGAGCCTATAGACTGCTATTTTTGTTTTTATACAGTCATACTTTAACCACAGTGGATCTAGATTTCGTGAAATGTTTTTTTCCTACGTACTGTATTATTCAGAACAAAACTAAACATTGAGGACAAGGGGAATTCCCACCCATTGACATTTCTCGTGTTCAAATACACGCTATAGACGTTACGCACAATATCACACGCAGGAATAAACGTTGATAAAAAATCATCATATCACACCAGGGACATCACATCAGGCACAGGTAGGTTAAGATGAATGAGCTTCTTTGTGCTGACATTTTTTCTTCATCAGCCCGTCAAAGGTCACTGCTGGACAAAAACCTATCCTAATGTAGAGGATTTGCCTTTTTAGGGTTCCGTACCTCAAAGGGAAAAAACGGAACCCTTATAGGATCACTTTGTTGTCCGTCTGTCTGTCTGTCTGTCTGCTGAAATTCATATCAAATACTCAAGTCTATTGTCCCTTAGAGCTGTGAAAAAATCAAACTTCTAAGCCAACGCAATCAAAAGATACAGCCGTAATTTTTCGACATTCGCAAGGGAATCAAAACCTACAGGGTACTTCCCGTGAACTCAGAATCTTGAAATTTGGTACGAAGCAACGTTTTATAGCACAGATAAAGGAAAAATTGCGAAAAGCATATCATTAGTTACATCATATAATAAAAATATTTTTAATAACTTTAATAGCTTTATAGAAAAGTGTTGTTTTAGACTTTTTCCGGCAATTTTCTAAATTTTTCTTTCCGTAAAAACCATCTTCGTACTTCAAGGAATATTATAAGAAAAGAATTAGCGAAATTGGTTCGGCTGCTCTTGACATTTTCGCTTAGCAACACATTGAGCGATTCATTTTTATATTATAGATTATCCCAAATTGAATATGATTTATGGGCAACCACGTTTTTGCCTACCAATCGAACCTTACGAATGTGTGATCAGTTAAAATAATATACTAAAACCACGCATTTTGAATTTTAAAGATAAAAAGGACAGAATGTTTGAGATTTGTTTTATTAATTTTTCTTCGCCATTTGTCTATACTACTTATACGTTTGTTACAAATTTGGCTGGTTATTGCAAAATAACCCTGTACAGTTGAACTGGTATTATGTTTAAAAAAAAAGGTTTTCAAGCACTTCATTTAGTGCAAAACGGCTCGTAAAAGAAAACGAATCGTTTTGAAAAATAGAAACCAGACATTAATCGTCACACTAAGCAGGTCGATGGCTGTACCAAGCATCTCGCGCCATCGCACCGCAAACAACTGCGTTCGTCAAGCCACCTGCGAACGGTGAAAATTAAGGCAAATCATACCCACAACCCGACCCCGAAGCTGCTGTGGAAGCGTACAATTCAGCCATTTTGTCAACATAAACTTCAGACTGGAATTACTGTTTTAATGATTGGTCTGCACGAATGGAAAAGTGCATTAAGTTGAACGGAGTATACTTCGAAAAACAATAAAATACAATTTAGCTATACCGTGTATGTGGTTTTTCTTAGTCCCGATCATTTCAGTGTGCCCCTCGTACCACGGCTATATTGAATAGACTAGTTAAATTAAATGTAATCCAAAGCCAAGTATACCACTGCTAAACTTTAATATATTGTAAGGTCTGTTTGCGTAGATCGTAGCATATATATATATATATATATTTAATAAATGAAGGTAACCCGGGTTGCGTGTAACATCAAAATGTCAAACACCTCAGTAGTCCCATGACAATAGACGAGGCACGCATTTGAAACATTAGATTATAAAATAAGTTAAAATTAAAAGTGATAAAATTATATTATGATTATAGTATGAAAACATTTAGAAACAGTATGGTAGTGATTACCTCATTCCCAGCGGTTATTATTAATCACATATATATATACACAGCTTTGAATAAGTTTGTATAATATTTGTGTCATTTTTTAAATATCTTTATTAAAGAATCTATCACTACCGTAATAGCAGTAATACCAATAGAATACAGGAGAGAAAACTAAATTGTCTTTTTTGGAATACTGAGCCAGTCATTTTTTTTAATTCAAGGTATTTGCATTTAGGGCAGATAGTTATCAAGCTTGGTGCTGCCGGGTTGGCAAGTGCAGCTTTTAATTATTTTTTAGTTGTTTTATAGTTATAATACATTGTCAGTTTAGTCACTTTAGTGCTTAAAAACATGCGAGTGTCGTGGAACAATAGGTTGAAACGAAGTTCCTTTCGTAGTATATTATTGTTACGAGTTTGGGGTTCGAGACAATTAAAAACTGCCGATTGAATTACCAAAATTAACACTTTAATTACACAACACTAATTACAATCTAAAATCACACTAATAATAAAACACAGTTCGCCGTTATTTCGCTTCGAAGTATTCTCTTGTATCGCCAATTCAATACTGCCCCGGTCGTGGTCTATACCGGCCTTATATAGGGCCTCAGATAGTTTCCCGAACCTTCTACTGTAGCGACATCTAGAATGTTCGAGTACATATCGGTCCCGAAATTTCTGGAAGGATCTCTCGACTCTCCTAGTTCTGCTATTCGACACTAGAGGGCGCTAGTGTAACTAGTGTTGCCATGTACAAGACATTAATAGTGGCGCGCAACACTTTCTTTTACTCGACACTAGAGGGCGCTGGTATAACTAGTGTTGCCATGTACAAGACATTAATAGTGGCGCGCAACATTATTATTGATATACGTATTATATTATTAACAAATACAAATTACTGGCGTCTATTAGAATCAAGCGTCATTTAAAATAATATTTCTTTCATGGCAAGATAAGAAAAAGTGCGAGGGAGATTGATGTTATTCCATCTCACTCGCACTATAGAAAAGAGGTTGTAACAGAATAATCTATTTCTTGCCTAGCCTACATCCGCCAAATTCGCACCGTGCGATAAGGAACATCGTTCCAATAATAAAACACCATGGTTCTTCAGATTTATATTAATTTATTTTTATAAAACTTAAGTGACAAACAAACTCCATCGGATAGTGTGAGTGGCTACTGCAGTCCTTGGACGCATGCAGCCGACCTCAAACAAACAAGGTTACAGATGCGCTGTCATTGTTTGAGGACAAAGATGGAACGCCTTATAGCCTGAAATTATACCGGCTCTCTACGCCTTTCAAACCGGAACCCAACAGTGCCTACATAGTCGGACTCAACAAATCGTCTTTGCTCATCGCCTATCACTTTGTATCTATCTAATCTTTCGAGAAATTCCGTTCAACGTTTCTTACGTGGTACAGCCATGCTGTAGTGTAGCTATATATTAGTAGTAGGTATAGTTGTAGCACGAATGGGTCGGCCCGACCGGGGAAGGACCCCGACCACGCTCTCACAGAATACCAACGTAAAATAGCAGCTTAACGCTGCTGTGTTTCGTGTGATGAGTTTAGAGAACCGGAGAGCCTTTTTACTGGAAACGAGGCATTACATCTTAGTCCTCACGGGTGACATCGCATCTGCATTTTGATTCGTAATCGAGAATAGATGTAGATGTCTATGAGCCGCAGCAACCACTTACCATCAAGTGGACGGTGTTTTCGCTCGTTTGTCACCCTTATCCTATAAAAAAAAACTCTACACATAGAAATCGATGACGATGAAAATGTCATGCTATGATTAGTGTCACCTGCATACCTGACTTCCCTGGGTGGGAAAAGTATCATCGCAGCTTCGACAGATGCCATTCTCCTTGCAGCGTAGTATGTTAAACATGTTTTTGACGTTGAAAGCGGCTGTGGCACTCCCTTCCTTCAGCAACCTCTCCCCTTCCTTCTGGCGTTTTTCATCCCCACCCGATGAGAAACAATTCGTGAAATCAAATTGTCCCTGTAAAATTTATATTATACACAAATATTTAATACATTAAGGTAATAATACGCATTTATACTTAAGTAATATTAATGAAACTTAAATAATAAAATTAGTTTAAAAAAATAGACGCATTGATCAGGAGCTGATATGCTCCTGGGGTTCTTCCCAGGAGCATCACAGCTCCAGGTCAGTCATGAAATTAGAGGACAGCATCCTAGGTCAGTCCTGAAATTATTGTATTGTCTTTAGTTTGATTGTTAACTAGGTTGTAGAGTTGTTTCTGCTAGAAGTCTGTTAGGGTAAGTAACTCGCTCTTACCTTGCTCGATAGTAGTGCTTAAGCCTCGGTCACACATAGCGAATACTAGAGAATTCGAAAAAACTAGAATACGCTATGTATGACAGGCTATTAGCTGAGATTAGATTCATTCGCGGCGAGTTGAATTCGCTGCGAATTGAATTGAACATGTTCAATTTTACTCTCTGCGAATGACCACTCGCTACGAGAATTCCTTGTGTGTGACAGGGTACTCGCTGCGAGTAGCCATTCCGCTCCAGACTACACGCCTGTGCATAGGTGTGTGTAGGTAAATCAAATGAGTTAACCGATAAACGATTCTCTAAAATGGGTAAATTACGATATAATTCGTTTCTTAGGTGTGTATATAAAACATGGGGAGCAGTTTGACACAAATAATAGTAATTTAAAAAAAAACGCAAAGGCCTCCATTGTTTAACGAATTAATTGAGTTGGGATTCGAAATAGCAACCCAAGAGCAATTGAAAGAAAATGTAAGAATATAAAAGATACATATTATAGATAATTCTCGTGTAGTACTCGCTGTGTGTGACTGTACTGTCAGCGAATATTCGCTGCGAATATTCGCTGTGTGTGACCGAAGCTTTACACTGTTCTGTTCCAGTCTGAAGGATATAGATACAGTATCATTTCAGGCTGTAAGAGATTCCATCTTAGTACTCAAAGGTTTTTTTATAGGATAAGGGTGAAGACAAGAACACAGTGCACCTGATGGTAAGTGGATTCTGGGGCTCATCGACATCCATACCTATCCTTGATTAAGAATCAAAATGCAGATGCGTTGTCAACACTAAGAATGGCGAATAGAAGTGTCTGTTTGTAATGCGTTTCCAGCAAAAATAGTTCTCCGGTTCTCTACACTCATCATACGAAACACAGCAGCATTAAATTGCTATTTACACTATTATTTTGTAAGCGTCTTCTCCGGTAGGTCATTAGTGCTACTAACTATCTAACTCTGTCTTCTTAGGTGCATGTGTGCCTGAACAGCAGTAGCCTTACCATCAATCATTTAAGGCCAGCAACGCATCTACGATTCCCTCCCTGGTGTTGCAGCTGTTCATGGGCGGCGGTAGTCACTTACCATCAGGTGTGCCGCAAGCTCGTTTGCCCCCTCTCCTATAAAAAAAAATCAGGACCGTAAGTTTGCTTATCGCTTTAATTTTATAAGACAAAAACTTAATATGTCTGCAAAATTTCAGATACTCTGACATTTGGAAGCCAAACGCCAGATGTTTAGTTGTACGTGAAAAGTCTATGGGAATGTATGGAGGGCCACATTTTAAACTCAATGACGATGAAGAAGGATTGAAGTTGTAGTTTTCGAAGGTTGTTGATTGCGTGTTCACATCACGTCGGTTGGTCACCACTGTAGCCGCTGGAAGGAAAAGGCGAGATCTCCCGCTGGGCAAGGTGTTCTGCCCGGGGAGCGGCCAACGCTCCAAGTAGTAGTTCGGAGCTATTATATATATATACTGCTTCGGAACTTTGATAGCGCGATTTACGCCTCGATGTATTTTCGCTTATAACACGACGATATCGCCGCTACAGTTGCTCAACAGGAAAAAAATCTACATGTGTTGCTTTTTGATTAATCAGTCTAACAACATTCGACCGGCAGGTCAATGTATATTACCCTGAATTGGGAGGTTAACACTTAACTGATAATATCTACTACCCCATATCTTCCCATGGGTATTGTGAGAGACGACAGAGGGAAACAAACTAGGAGATGGGCAGCGACGCTTATTAATAACTAAAAAATAAAAAAACTATGGTTGTCAACCCATCAGCCAAGCGTGGCAATTATGGCAAATATCTCCGCAATGAGGTAATTTATGGGAGGATTCTCTATAAAATGAAGAGTAATTTAAAACAAATTAATTACTATTTAAATACATTTCCTTTTGATTTTATTGAAATGTGTATGAAATAATACTGAACCTAGTTTGCGCCCTCTAGAGTATTTATCAGTAATTTATAATCACAACGCCATCTATAAGAGCGCAGAAGAAACTTCCCTCGTTTCGTCACCTAATAATTTGTCAGAGTGGCTCATCTATGCCCTATATAATATCTATGATTAGAGATATCTATGAGTATTTATGAGTCTCTATGATTAGATATCATGACTATCTATGATTTCTTATCTATCATGGAAGTGTAAGATGTACTTAATTATTAAGTGCCCGATAAAGAACACTTATAAATCTACAGAGGCGGCCTTACCCATTGCGAGGCTCCGGGCGGCAGGTCTTTGCGAGGCCCTTTGTCCTTCGTGATTATGTGATGCGAAAGTAGGTCTGGTTGTTTGGTTTAGGTATTTGTCATGTTTGAGGAGAAATACTAAGGTGATATAAATAAATAAAATTTCGGTTTTAAAATATTTTACATTGAAAAATTTACAAAATTAACAAATACAGAGATGATAAATTTTAAAATTGATGTTTGCAGATTTTCCTAAGACTAAAATCTTTAATTAAAGCACAATAATCTAACGAATGAGCTACGTCATTTTCGATTGAAAGAATAGCAAGGGCTGAAAGCCGATCTTGTGTCATCGAATTCCTCAAATATGTTTTAATAATTTTAAGTCTCGAGAAACTCCTTTCAGCAGACGCAACTGTAACAGGTGTGGTAGCAATAATTCTCAGGACTATTTCGATAGTGGGGTAAACTTCAATAATTTTTTTTTCTATTATATATTTCAGCACCGAGATAATATCGTCGTTTCCGTCATACACATGGATGAACATATTGAGTTCTTCGTACAATTCATGTCCATCAATATCACATGAGTCTCCTACTGTCATAGATATTTGCAAGTCGCTGCATTGCTTCAAAATTTCATTATCACTAATTTCCTTCAATCTTTTTATATTATACATGAAACCAAATATGCTTTCATGATGTTTAAGAGCCTCAAACCTAGGATGGCAGCTTGCTCGCACATTGTCGACAGTGACATAAAAATAGTTTATTTTGAAAATTTCTTCCGCATTCAATTCATGAGCTTCATCTTCCCCTTCATAATAAAATGCCTTTTTTTACGTCTTCTTCTGACTTCTTTGAACTGTGACTTTCAATATCATTTTCCTCGGCTATTTCTCTCGCTGTTACAAGGGATGACTGAAAACCATTTTCACGATAATTATCGAGCCAATTTGTGAATGCGTCTAGGTGTTGTATAGCCACATTTAAGTGCATGTGTTCGTTTTGCCACATTTTACTTATAACATTTATCTTTGTTAGAATATCATACCATATGACTAGTGAAACTACAAATTCGTAGGTAGTTATTTCCTTTTCTATAGAATGGTATTCACTGACCAACTGACAATCTGTTGTATTTTCTGCTAAATCCTTTAAAGCATCACATATATCGCTTAGTTGGTATTTAACGGCCTTCACCGATGCTACCCTGCAGGGAGTGCAGGGTAGCATCGGTGCACTTTCTGAAACTAGGTGGGAACCTAGTTTCAGAAAGTTTGCAAAAAAATAAAATAAAGCAATAACGATTTTACATGAGCATTTAAAATAGCCCACCTCTGACTTGAGCCGGCAAACAGAGTGTACAACCTAGTTGAGTGTAGCAAACCAAAAAAAGATTTCGCTTGGACACAAGACGATGCTGCATCTCCTAGGATGAGATTCCAACTATGACTCCCGCAAGGTAAAAATAAGCAAGTGGATTAATTTCAAGAATGCGTTTTTCTACACCACTTTTTTCACCACGCATATTGGAACCATTATTATATCCTTGGCCTCTGCAGTTTAGCAATGATATACCTAACTGTTCTAATTCTGTGATTATGTAATTAGTCAAACTTTCAAAAGTCAAAGTTTGATCTACATCAGTAATTGTTTTAGGCCACAAACCGGGGTCATTTTGAGGATTCAGATTTTCCATTTCAGCAGCAGCAGACATAGACTCAGGCTCAGATTCGTGTTCTTGATGGAATAGCGTTGACGGCGGCACCGGTGACCTAAGAGACAATGATGTAGTTAACTCATCATCATCCTTACTGTTTTTACTTATTGTCGGCGGTGGCACCCATGATGATGTGGAAGAAATGTTTTCAGCTGGATCAGGATTAGAGTCACTTTCAGTCAATAAATGTTTTGTAGAGGTTTCGTGACCATCTCTTTTTATATATTTATATAAATATCCACGTAGATTTTCTTTTACCTGCTTTCTTTTGACAGCTCGTTTCCTTTTTGAACTACCTGACTTAAATTTTCTACCGACATCACGATCACGTGAATTCATTTCGTAAACCTTGTTTTGTTTCGCACAAACTGTCAGAAATAATTTTTAAGTATCACACAGTTTTTTTACACTTTTTCAACTTACTCAATACTTCAAATACTATAATTTACACTTTTCCAGCTCACTCAATAATATAAATACTATAAGAGTGTTCAATAAAATTTAAAGATATGTACGGTACAGTAACGATTTTATAACTATTTTGTTTGTATACATACTGCAAGCGAACTAATTCCAAGGTGATAGGAGTTGAAGAACGAAATGAAACACGGGGATTCCCCGAGCTATAGAGGAATAGAACATTATGTCCCGACTCCCGAGCTGACCCGAGTGCTATGCGATTAAAAAACCGATCTTCAAGTGTTTCGAGGCGCGATATTCAAGTACTACATAATTAATTTTTCAATTATGTTTTGAATGAATTAAT